AAAAATCCTTGAGGACATCAGTGTATGAATTTCTGGGTATTATAAACTTAACGAATACAATATTGGCACAGTGGATAAAGGCGTTAGTTAGATTCAGTGACAGAACCCAAAGAGTGTGAGCTCAATACCCGGTTAAGGCAGTGGAGAACATAGAGAGGGGAATTATCAGGAGATAACTGATAACTGACATCCATTAAACGCGGCACGTGGAACTAGAACAGTCTATCCCAGTGAGCAAAATAAAGGGTTCAGTTCGACATTCCAACCACCTGAAGAAGGCCGGAGCGTACAACGGCCGGAGCGTACAACGGCCGAAACGTTGTAATAAATATGGTGGCAAAGATGAGGACAATAGTCCGAATAATTTAAATAGTGTACATAATACCTCATCTGAGAAATATAGACAGATACTGAAAGGCCGAAACGTTGTAATAAATATGGCGACAAAGATGAGGACAATAGTTCGAATAATGGAAATAGTGTACATAATACCTCATCTCAGAAATATAGACAGATACTAAAGGGCCAAAAGTATATTTAGCTAACCCCCATGAGGGTTGCATGTGGCACAAGGCCTGTTTAACGTGGGTTCTCCGAGCCCGTAGGCTCGGCCGAAGATATTCCCTTTCGAACCCGTATTAACGGGTTCAGTGGCAGTCAACCTCCCCGAACGAAACTCTGCCCTTCGGCGGAGCCTCGTCAGGGTTCCTCTCTGCCCGAAGGCAGAGAGTTCGACTGTTTAGCCGAAAAGATTTCGGTTAGTTTCTGTAGTCTGTTGACTTACAGGTATTTATAGGTAGTTACTACCTATAGTGTAGTCACTAATGGGGTTGACAGGTTATTCCATTACATCAGTAAGTAATAATCTTTACACACTTAGAACACCGTCTTTCAGCAACTCTCAACCATGTGTGATCCAGGAAATCCGTGAGCACTACACTCTTTTGGATTGGAAGCATGCTCTTGCTCGCATGCTCTTGCATTACGCGTCTTTTGTGGGTGGCGAAGATTTACTGTGCGTCCATTGTTTTTAATAGTTTAATCTCTTGGTCAAAGTGGTGAGCCCATGCTATGTTCATTTATGTTTTATCGCACTTTCCTCCAAAAAACGGATATAAATTTATTTTGTTTGTATTTTCTAAATAGATTGCATTCAGTCTTTGCCGGTTTTACTTAACAGAACAAGAGCACCACTCTTTTGAAAAGTAGAAAGTTTCAATATTCACCTAATAATTACCCCCAATGTTTATTCGGCAGTCGCCTGAAGTGGCAGTTTTCACATATTAAATGGTAAGAGTTATCGTGAATAAGGGCAGTTTCTACTAAAATCTGACTTGAAATGCTGAAAGACTGAATTTCTAGCATGAAGTCTTATCCTTATTCATATTATTTCCATTCGAGTGAGCTGCATTCCCTAGGTCAACCAACCCAGATCTTAACAGCTGAAACCCAGCATGCCACGTAAACGGAGACGAACCGTCAGAATTCCCTTTGTATTCCATTAGTAAGGAGGAAGTTTAATTCGAACAAACACCAGAGAAAATGTTACGCAAAAGTTTCAACCATTTATGTCTAGGTCATATTTATAGTCATAATCTATAAGTTTACCACCCCTGCTTACGCTTATAAAGCAATTTCATCCACTAAAGTTCTACCTTAACCCTAGGACACTAACCATCAATTAAAGTTATACCACTACTAACAATGGATATATCATACCTGATTTTGAAAATATAAAAAAAATATATTAAATATAAATCTTTATTTGAAATATTTTATATGCAGGCACTTCAAACTTTGCACTTTGAGTTAACATTAATAGGAACTGAAAAACATTATTTAGGTAAAAAAATCAGGTACTGAAAATTGTAATTAAAAATAGGAAAATTTGCGCTGGGTACTATATACCCATGGTTAGTGTTCTAGGGTTAAGTGACTCCTGGGCCTTGTATTGAGCGAAAAATAGTGTAAACATTCTCTTATTAGTCATTACAAGGGTAATAATGGATACTAGGGCGGCTATCCAATCCCTGTTACAGACAGTCTTCTCAGGCATATTTGTGTTTGTTCAACGCCGACAGGTCCCAACTTTGTTTTGTACACCAACTATGCTGATCGGACTTTCAATAGAGTGAGCGTTATCTAGCGTGATCAATAGGCTAAACTAAGCCACTACGCTCAAACCATTGGTCACGATGTGAAGTTGCTAGTAGAGCCATCGAACGCACCGAAGAGTTCTACCATAATTTCAGTCACAAGGCTTGGGTCACTTTCCAAAGGTGCCGCACGCTGGGATCGATCTCATCGATAACATCAAGAAGTCACCTGGGCAAATCGACCAAGTCATGTTCAATAACCAATTTGTCACTCGTTCATCATCACAACGATAACGATAGAATAATAGAACATTTGGTTTTTCTACAAACGTTTCCCAACAAAGAATAGTCTGACGAAGCGCGCCATCGTCAAAGTGTCTCGTAAGTTTATTCTGATACAAGTCAACAGATGTAGGCGTGGAACTCCGTTAAAAAAAAAAACTTTCGAAAGATTCAATAGATTTAATATCACCAAAAAATCTCAATCATTTGTCTGCAAAAAGTAGGCTCCAATTTATTAACCAATCGGTGACCTTATCTCAAACGTTCTTAAGGCTTTGAAATTTCTGACAACCACGTTTGTTACCTGCTACGAAATTTGAGATATCACTCCACAAAATGATTTAAAATGTTTTCCCTCTCAAAAATAGATATTCAAAAATTGGTAAAAATATTTATTAACCAATAAACTTCGGAGTTGAGTAAATCTTACTTTTAGCTTCCGGAAATCTATACGCTGTCATAAATACAATCGCATAAATTCACAAAATTAGTTTTCAGTTTTTCCGTAAACCTTTGACCATAGTTCGTTGTTTTTCTCTACAAAATGAATTCTCACGACTTTCGTATCATTAATTACTCAACCCTTCACGTTTTATCGATTAACTTCTTGTAATTGACCCGCAATTTTAAAATAAATTAAGCTCACGTTAAAACATACGAAGAGCGTTTTGTAAACACGATGTTAGTAACAGTAAAAGGAGATCTCTCTCTTTTGCTAACTGCTGCAAAATTACACGCTTTCATTAAACAACTTAAATACTTGACTCTCTTTAAATAGAGAAATTTATGTTTTTCTGTTGTGCTGTAAGAAAGAAAAACAAATTATTTGTTTCGCGGGGATCTTTTTTATTCGTTTCTTTCGACATGAAAGAAAAGAATACTCAGTTCTGCGCGCTTTTTTTTTCTCTACATAGGAACCTATGCTCGAATACAAGTGTTTTTCAGTGCTGATATTTCTATTAATTACCATAAAAAACAGCATAAATAAACATGTGACTTAGCCAAGTAAAAACCTTGTACAATCCTGAAATTATTGAATCAATATCTTTCATAGCAGCATAAATAGATGTCGGACTCGCTGACCGCTTTATTTGACCTCTTCAAAGTGACCGATGATTATGTCGGAGTGGACAACGATTGAACAAACGCTAATAGACTGGAGTGTGGAATTGCTTTTATTAATGATGGACAATTAAGATAACTGTTCTCCGTATTGAAGAGACTCGGACAGGCAATTGACCTTTGGTAAGCGTCGGTCAAAGCTAATCGCATATGATCTCTTTTCCTATTGTGTTCTACGTTGCTTGTTTTCTCTTTGAATATATATATATATATATATATGTGTGTGTGTGTGTGTTTGTGTGTGTGCGTGAGTGCGTGTGCGTGTCTGTGTGCTTAACTATATAAAGAGAGAGAGAAATAGCGAAAGGGAAAGACAGTAAAATAAATCCAAAATAAAAGCTACTGAATAACCAATATTTAAGATAGATATGAAAGGAATAAGATAGATAGATAGATAGATAGATAGATAGATAGATAGATAGATAGATAGATAGATAGATAGATATATATATATATATATATATATATATATATATATATATATATAGATAGATAGATAGATAGATATTAACAAGATCAACAGATTTAGTATACACACACACACACACACACACACACACACATATATATCTATATATCTATCTATCTATATATATATATATATATATATATCCATTTTATATATATATATATATATATATATATATATATATATATATATATGCTAAATCTGTTGATATCTAATAATATTGTTAATATATATATATATATATATATATATATATATATATATATATATATATATTTCACTGAATACGATAGACAAGGTACTTTGATTTAGTTTTTATATAATTTCTCATATGATCTAATATTTTTCTTTTCAGATGATAAATTATATAAAGACTGTCCGAATGTTCTTTTTTTTTTCGAGCGCTTTCGGCTATACATTTAGCCATTTTCAAGGATGAAATATTTTCTTATTTAACAGTTAAAATATTTCATCCTTGAAAATGGATAAATGTATATAAATGTATTATTAGCTAGCTAGCTAAACTAGATAGATAGATAGATAGATAGATAGATAGATAGATAGATAGAAACAACTATAACTTGAATGAGAGGGAAATAAACATATAGGTAGACCTATAGCTAGATTAAATTTTTATAATGAAATAAATATTAACTTCTTTCTCGGTGTAGAAATCATGAAAAAAGTTTACCAACCTTTCAATTGAGCTAATTATTTCTCTCTGTATCTTAACCAATTTCGTTCACTCATCATTACTGGAACGTAATGAAACCTGCTGTGGCATTCCAATGGGACGCTTTTCTGCACTCATTGAAACCATAATAAAAGTAGTATAAATAATACGCGGGTATTATACATATCGTTAGTATGTCATTTTCTGATCAATAACTCACAATTAGTTGCGTACAACGACGTGGAAATTAGTCAGGGATATGGAACGCCTCACGCTTCGATTCGTGTGTCGATTTGGAATACAAGTCAAGTGCTATTGTTTTGCCAAATTTTCGTGCAAGAGACACCATTTAAAAAATATGGGTATTTTTTTTCGTTCATTTTGCTTGTCTATTTCAATGTTTTATGTCAATTTTTTTATCAATCTTTCTTTCTCTTTCTTTCTTTCTTTCTTTTCCTCTTTACTTAATTTCTTCTTTTTTTCGTTTTTCTTTTCTAATATTTTTCCTTTTGTCAATTTTGTTGCGTTATTTATTTTTTATTTCGTTTGCCTTTTGTTTTTTGTTTCTTTTTTCTTTACTTATTTCTTTTATCCTTTTTTGAAATCTTTTTATTATTCTTTTCTCTTCACTTTTCTTTCGTTTTCGATTTTCCTCATATTTCTTTCCACATATTTTTCTCAAATCAAATTTATTGCTTCATCTATTGTTTTTCCTTTTTCCTTCATTTCATTATTTTTCCTAATTTCTGATTCATACGTTCTTTTCTTTTTCGTCTCTTTTATTTATTTTTTTTATCTTTCTTTCATCTTTTTGGGAGTTTATTTCATTTTCTTTCTTTATCTTATTCCTTCTTTACTTATATTTTCCTCCTCGTCTTTCCTTCTCATATTTTTCTTTAGTCAAACTTCTGTTTTTACCTTTTCTTTCTCTGCTTTTCTTTTTTTTTTCTCTCTTTCGTTCTTTTTCTTTACTCGTGCTTTTTTAGTTTTTCTTTTATTCTTTTCTATTTCTTTATTTACTTTTTTTATTCCTTTTATCATTTGTTTTCTCTTTTTTTCCTTCTTTGCTGTCGCCATTCCTTTGTCGCTTTCAATGTCTTTTTTTTCTCTTTCTTTTTCAGTTTTCCTACATTATTTACATTATTCGGATTGTTATCCTCATCTTCATTGCCTTATGCAGAACGTTTCGGCAGTTATTAGCTCCGGCCTTCTTCAGGTGATTGGAATTTCGAACCGAACACTTTACTTCGTTCACCGTGGTAGATTGTTCGAGTTCCACGTGCCACGCCTCTTTCGGATGTCTCAGTTATTTCCTTTTAACTTAACGCTCCAAGTTTTTGGTTCACCACTGCTGTGGCCTGGTATTGAACTTACAACTCTTTGGGTCTAGTCACTGGATTTAACCAACGTCTTTATCCACTGGGCCATGTGGCCTTTAGGTTAGATCCAGTCATTGAAAATGTTTGATACGTCAATCGTAAAAATTCTGTGTGCCACTAGGTGTCATTGTTTTACAATTGAAATATCTATGTGTACTGTTCTATTCTAATAGTTCAGTTTCTCGCACTTCTTGCTTGGGAAACTCTCTTTCGCTTTCTTGATCATCCTGGGTAAGATGATAAACTACATCCGCGTCCTGGGTAAAACGATAAGCTACATCCAGCAGAGAAGCCTCTGATAGGAGGTGTTGAGGAGCGTGGTGTTCCAAGGTGCAACCTGACCCGGGGTTGCAGCACCTGTTAGGGTCCCAGCTTTGGGCAAATAGTTAACCAGCAAACTCGGGTCAAAACATGTAAAAATAGGTTTTAATACAAGCAATATTTTTTTTGTAAAAAATTATTACCAGCAATACATTTTTCAAGGAAAAAATATTACCACTAATACATTTTGAAAAAAAATATTACCAGCAATAATTTTTTGAAAAGATATTACCAGAAATACTTTTGTAAAAAAAATGTTACCAGCAATAAAAATCTTGTCGACATTAAATAACCTATTGAGGTTGATATGCGGTAAACCAAACCAAACAGCTTTCGTGATTCCATGTGACCTACACTCTTCAGAAATTTAAATGCAACATCAATCGCCATCTTCTGTCTTTCGGATACCTGTTCTTTTATTGTCCTTTCTCCTCCTTGATGTTTCCTCATTTCCTTTAACTCTCAGTAAACCCTTCCCTCTTAGTGGCTTTATCGCCTTGCTTGGTGTCAAATTACCGTTGGCTTCGTTACATATACTTACACGCAAATACCCTTGGAAAAGGCATGAATTCACTTCTTCTCGCCCCAGCTATGTATAAGACTTGTATAATTAAATCATTATTAGCGGCAAAGAAATTCCTACAATCTAAAAATATTTTCTGGCTTTAAATAACCTGCAAAGGATTGATAAACTGTAAAAAACGAAGTAATCAATGTTTCTTTTTATCATTTTCTTTATATAATCTTGTTCTCCGTCATGAGATTATTCTTTTAATTTCTTTCTATCTTTCGTTCTTTCTTCTTTATTTCTGTCTTTCTCACTTTCTTCTTCTTTCTTTCTTTCTTCTTCATTTCTGTTTTTCTTACGCTCTCTCTCTTTCTCTTTTTCTTTCTCTTCGTTTTTCTTTGTGATTATCTTTTCCCCTTCTTTCTTTCTTTTTTTTCTTTCTTTCTTTCGTTCTTTCTTCTTTATTTCTGTCTTTCTCTATTTTCGCTTGTTCTTCGTCATTAGATTTTTCCCTTATTTCTTTCGTTCTTTCTTCTTTGTTTCTCACTATTTCTTTCTTTCTTTCTTTCTTTCGTTCTTTTTTTATTTCTGTTTTTCTTATTCTTTCTTTCTTTCTTTCTTTTCACTTATTCTTCGTCATTAGCTTTTTCCCTTGTTTCTTTCTTCCGCTGTATCTTTTTTCATTTATGTGTTCCTAACTCTCTTTTTCTTTCTTTCTTTCTTTCTGTTTTCTCGCTTTCGTTCTTTCTTTCTTTTCCTTTGTTTTCGTGGTTATCTTTTACCCTTCTTTCTTTCCTCCTTCTTTATTCTGACTTTCTCATTATTTTCTTTCTTCGTTCTTTCTTCTTTATTTCTGTTTTCTAACTCTCTCTCTCTCTCTCTCTTTCTCACTTCCTTTCTTTCCTTCTTTCTTTCTGTCTTTCTCATTCTTTTATATCTTTCGTTCTTTATTTCTGTTTTCTAACTCTCTCTCTCTCTCTCTCTTTCTCATTTCCTTTCTTTCCTTCTTTCTTTCTTCTTTCTTTCTGTCTTTCTCATTCTTTTATATCTTTCGTTCTTTATTTCTGTTTTCTAACTCTCTCTCTCTTTCTTTCTTTCTTTCTTTCTTTCTTTCTTTCTTTCTTTTCGTTTGTTCTTCGTAGTTATCTTTTTCCCTTCATCCTTTCTTTCTTTATTTATTTCTGCTTTTCTCACTCTTACTTTATTTCTTTTCGCTTCTTCTTCGTCATTAGCTTTTTCTTTCTTTCTTTCTTTCTTTCGTTCTTTCTTTCTTTCTTCTCCCCCCTTATTTTCACTTTAGTTTCCTTTAACAACTTTGCATCTTTCTCTTTTGCATAATTCTTCGTTTATTCTTTCTTTTTTTATTTCTTTTCGCTTCTTCTTCGACATTAGCTTTTTCTTTCTCTCTTTCATTTTTCTTTCTTTCTTTCTTATCCGTCTTCTCACATCTTATTTTCAATTTAGTTTCTTTTAACAATTTTGCATCCTTTTCTTTTGCTTAATTCTTTCTTTTTTCTTTCTTTCTTTTTTCTTTCTTTCTTTTTTCTTTCTTTCTTTTTTCCCTTGTTCTTCGATATTACCTTTTTCTTTTTTCTTTCTTTTTTTCTTATCCGTTTTCTCTCCCTTTATTTTCAATTTAATTTCACTTTAATAATTTTGCATTCTTCTCTTTTGCTTAATTCTTCATTCATTCATTCATTCATTCTTTCTTTCTTTCTTTCTTTCTTTTCGCTTGTTCTTCGACATTAGCTATTTCTTTCTTTCTTTTTTCTTTCTTTCTTTTCCCTTGTCTTTCGTCATTGGCTTTTTCTTTCTCTCTTTCTTTCTCTCTTTCTTTCTTTTTACTTTTCCTTTCGTCATTAGCTTTTTCTCCTTGTTTCAATCTAGCTCCATTTTATACAATTTCGCATCCTTCACTTTCGCCTAAATCTTCTAGTACGACCAAAATATAATATGAACCCCTATCCAATAAGATTGCCGACCATCTGCTGATCAAAAATAAATAAATAATCAAATATGGGAGACACAAGAACCAAAATAAATAAATAAACGTTATAGCAGAACCTTTCCCACCATTACTTGCAACATCGTTCAATAACGCAAATTCTCGTGAGATTATGCAATTTGCTGGTCAGTACAATATTGATTCATCTTTTTTTCTCTCTATCACTCTCCCTATTTCTCTTTCGTTTGCTCTCTCTCTCTCTCTCTCTCTCTATCTATCTATCTATCTATCTATCTATATATCTGTCTATCTTTCTGTCTGTTTGCCTATCTCTACATATATATCGTGCTTAGTCTTTCTCTTGCGAAAGAAAAAAGGGGCGGGGAAAAACATAGAATGAGAAGGGCATTCTGATTTCCCTCTCATTTTGTTTTCTATCTTCTCTCTTTCTTTCTCGTTCACAATCTTTTCTCTGTCTCTCTCTTTCTTTTACTTCTCCCTCTCTCTCTCTCTTTACGTAATACTTTCAGTCTTTCTCTTTTAGTTTTATAAATCACTCCCTATCTTCTTTTTCCACTCTCATCTGTCGTTTCTCTCACTATGCTTGTCTTTTTTATTTTATTACAATTGTTATAGATTTCTCTCCAGGTCTTTTCGTTTATTTCTTCATCTCTCTTCCTCTCTCTGTCTCTCTCACGTACGATATATTCCTTTTTACTTTACTCTTACACTTTCTATCACATTAGTGTTCACTATCTTCCTTTTCCGCTCCCGTATTTTTTCACTGTCTCTTTTTGTCTCTTGTTCCATCTCCCTCTTTATTCCTGTCTTTCTCTCTCTCGTTTTCTCACACTCTCCTGTTTAACTACTTTTCTCTCACTCTTTCTCTCTGTATCGGTCTTGTTCCCTCTCTGTCATTCTTTCTCTTACTCGTTCTTAGTCCTACTGTTAATTGCTATCTTTCTCTCCTTCCATCTCTCTTTTACTATACTTTTTTTTCTGTCTCTTCTAGCGCTCTTTCTTTCTAATTCTTTCTCTTACGCCATTTGCTTCTCTTTCGCGATTTCCTTTCCTTGACCAATTACACGTTTTCTTCCTCTCTTCCAGTTTCTCACACTCTTAATGTCAGTTTCTTTTTCCTTCTTTGTTTCTTCCTAAACATCAACATTTTATAAAGTTCCATAGAGAATCACTCACATACCGACCCCTTTCTTTAATGTTGGTTTCGGTTACATGCAATCACTGTTACTTTCACTTCCATACAATCAATATCACTTCACTTTCAATTCCATACAATCAATTTTACTTTCACGTTCACTTTCATTTTCAGTTCCATACAATCAATTTCACTTTCACTTTCATTTTCACTTCCATACAATCAATTTCACTTTCACTTGCATGCAATCAACCCCAGAAATAAACAATTCATAAGCTTTACTTTATAATAATCCCTAAGCTCAAAAGTTAATGATTCGGGCAATTCGAATATTCATAAGCTGTAAAATGAGTCCTTCAAGTGAAAATGTGAACGATCTCAACTTAAAAAGAAACAAAAAATAAAACATAGTATGTGGTCGCTACAATCTATGATCGGAGTGAATCTTTATCAGTAACATTAGTTTTATTACAATATGTGCGCTACACACTTTCAGAAATATCTAAATTGTTAGATAAATATATAAATAACACAGACAGCTGAAGATTTTAATAATATAAAAATCATATGATATCTTGGGATTGTACATTTGATTGAAATCAAATCCATTTGTCTGACTGATACATACATACATACATATATATATATATATATATATATATATATATATATATATATATATATATTAGTCTGCCCATGATTACTTTCATCTCCCAATCTATTCGTATATATCTGTTGTTCCATATTTGTTTATATCTATCTCATTCTAGTTATATAACTTATGCTACATATGTCTATCTACTTATCTATCTATCAATCAGTTTTTACTTATCTATCTGTTTCAATCTATTTCCATCTATCTATCTACCTGAAATAATGGTTAACCAAAGCTTTATATTCTCCATTTATTTTATTCCTCTTTTCTCTCTCGCTATCCATCTCTATACACACACACACACACACACACACACACACACATACATAGACATATGTGTGTGTGTGTGTGTGTGTGTGTGTGTTATGAAATGGACAAAGTCCGGCAATTGTTTTAAGACATTTTTTGTTTATAGATTCTTTTTCATTGATACAAATATATAAGTAAATGCTCTTTTCATAATAAACAATATTAACAACACTTACCCGCCTGAATGTCCGAGAAATTTTCATAGAAAATATGCGTCCTCCAACAGGAATCGAACCTGTATTCTATACGGAATCGTCATATAGCCTGACGTGCTTTTACCGAATGGGCCACGGAGGAGCGTTTTGGTTAGCAAGGTCGATTGTACTGTTTTTAAACTACAATTATCCATGATTTTTTCATGTACATTCTTATCTGCTCATGGCGTATCAAATGTAAACAAATGACGTCACGCATTATGAAATGGGCAAAGTCCGACAATTATTTAAGACATTTTTATGTTTATACGTTCTTTTTATAGATACAAATATTTAAGTAAATCCTTTGTTTATAATAATGTTTATATATATATATATATATATATATATATGAAGAAAAATATATACGGAAAAAACAAACAAAAATCCTTATATACAATTAGGCTGTTTTAATGTTAATATGTCAAAGTCGGACGTTTCGGTCTAATAAACCATCTTTCAGGACACATTCATAAATTATAATTATCAATACAAATGATAATGGTAATTTATGAAGATGGTTTATTAGACCGAAACGTCCGACGTTGACATATTAACATTAAAACAGCATAATTGTACATAAGAATTTTTGTTTGCTTTTTCCGTATATATTTTTCTTCATACTGTCGGATTTATATCCATATATATATATATATATATATATATATATATATATATATATATATATATATATATATATATATTATAAAATGGACATTTTATGTTTATACATTTTTTTATAGATACAAATATTTATGTAAATGCTCTGTTTATAATATGTCTTAAAATAATTGTCGGTCTCTGTCGGAGGGCGTATATTTTCTGTCAATTTCTAGAACATTCAAACTGGTAAATGTTGTTTAATACTGTTTATTATAAACAGAGCATTTACTTAAATATTTGCATCTATAAAAAAGAATGTATAAATATAAAAATGTTTATATATATATATATATATATATATATATATTATGTCAAATTGGAGAAAAGTTTTTGTTTCCAATTTATCCTATTAAGTACTTTCGACAATTTCAAATTGTCATCTTCAGAGCGCATTTTTTTCCCATGCATAGGCAAACATTAAGACGAAATATGTGTAGACCGAGAGATGTTATTTTTTAAATTATTATTAAATTATTCTATTTATTGACAGTTGGATATAAGTTTTGGGCTGTTTTTGCTCAATTCGATCAAGTGAGAAATTTGTTTGAATTTTAAAAAGACATAAATCCACGAAATTGTCTTATATATATTTATCTGGGCTTACGTCTAATCCAATTAGTAGATTAAAAATGTCTTAGTTCTCCACAGAATTTAAGAATCTGATTATTACTGTGCTGTGGATCTGATGTTGTAAATATATTAGTGTTCAGCTTATATATTATATCATAAAGAAACAATTTATACAAAGAATTAAATAGCGATGTTAATGTGATTAATGGCGAAATCACTTCGCTAACAAGACTTAATGAGACATTAACTTGTTAGCGAAGTAATTTCGCCATTAATCGCATTAATATTACTATTTAATTCTTTGTAGTATATTTCCTTATAAGGAAATGAATGCTATTTTCAATAACATATGTTATAATTGTTATATTTTTATTGTTGTTAATCTCTTTTTGTACCTAATAAAGTCTACTGTACGAACGAATCTTCAATCAGTCACATAACTTTCATTACAGTCTCTTGGTATAATTGTTCTATTTTATTATTAGTTATTGTTATCTTTTATGAGGTCTACGATAAGAATAAATATTCTATGCGTCATATAATTTTTTTTTAATTACAGGTCCCTTCAGGACGAAGGTGATCATGGCTCTCCACAGATTCCTTTTCTTTATAATCTTTGATCTGTCATGAGTTCTTTGGAAAGATAGTGGAGTAGATTTCCGTTGTCTTTATTTGTTGTTAATCCAAATTTTTGATGGGTACCCTTCTATTTCATTCTTTTTCCAAGGGCATTTGTGCGAAAGTAAACGCACCAGATTAAATCTGAATTTGAACCTCACTTATACTGCCCATATATCTCTTAATCGCTTACGTAATTAAGCGTTTTCTTACTTATGTATCCAAGGCAAAAACAGAATACCCTGACGTGCCAAAAGTCACGGAACACGAAAGGATAATGGTAAGTAGCGCCACCTTAGCTTCACATAAGGGAAATACAAAGATCTATTTTTTTTACTAAGATATCTGGTGAGCCACTGTGAATATCGGCTAGACTGCACATGGCAAAGTGACGGTGATTATTATGATAGAACATATGATAGAGATTGATTGAGGATATGATATGATTGTGTGTGATAGAGAATTACGGGTGGATGGTATATTCCATTTCTAAAACCGTGTGGACGTGTATTTGATATACTTCGACCTCTGGTGCCACATGTGTATCCAAAATACCCGATGAAAGACAATACAGTCGCAGTCCACGGATCCTTACTGATCGTGGCTAGGGACGTTTTACTACACTCAAATCATATCCACCTTCAAGGTAGAAATATAAGAAGCATATTCACTCGATCCGTTCAAAATTATTTACCTTCGAAGCGATATCGGAGCAGAAGAGCAACCAATGTGCTCCTGTCAGCCCTGATATATCAGTACCAGCAGAACATATCTGCTCGTCACATCTTGAAGGATTTGCGTTGTGTGTATGTTGGGGGGGGGTATGATTCGATAATTCCCGGTTTCTAGTTGCTTTGTGATGATAGTATGATGGTATTTATAGAAAAGAAACAATGCCAGATTGGTAGGAAAATGACTGAAGCCGAGATGCCAGGTCAGAATCGATTATATTACAAACTCTTTGAATTTTGTCAAGAATCTTGATATATATAGCAGAAACACCAGACCAGATATGGCAGCCATATTCAATTTAAGGACGAATAGTAAATTTATAAATCTGTAAACGAGGGGCAGGGTGGAGTAATGGATAGCGGCTCAGATTAAGGAATCGGAGAGCCGAGTTCGAATCCTAGTCGAATCCATTACATTCAGGTATGAATCCTTTTCTTCCCCCCAGCTATGGAAAAATAGCAGGATGGGTGCACAGACCGGGTTCTATAGCCTTTGATGGCAACTGGTCTACCGCAGAAAGAAATGGCAACCTACTGCAGGAAAAAAATCTGCCTCGTCAGTCATGTATCGAAAGATACATGATCGCCTAAGCGTGTATTACGTATGGCACATAACTAACTGAAGCTGAAATTTGTCTCGCACGACATTGTGGACCAACTTTCTGAGCTTAAATAATTCTTAAGAGAATTTTTAAAAACCTATAATTATTAATAGACTTTTATTTCCAATTTTACAAGTAATACCGGATTTTGGCAAATATGGCACATCGTAACCGCAATATGATCAAAGGGACGTTTTTCCCCATTACACCGCTTTCATTTTAACTTCTTTGACAATATACACTACACGCATATATATATATATATATATATATATATATATATATATATATATATCCGTTATTACGTTGCCTTTTTAGCCAGCCATCCCTGACGATCCGCTTAGTTGAAACCTTGGTAGGTTTGTCTGGCTCTCGAGGTTTAACTAGGTCTGCTCTACTTACCGTATTGAGTACTTTATTTAGTTATTTTGATTACTCACATCGGGGGTTTTTTTTTGGACTTTGGACTTGCATGCTAGACGATTATTTTCGGCTGACGTACATGTTCTTGGTTCTTTCTTTTTTTATACCTTTTTTTTTCCTCTTTGGTATTGGTTTGATTATTAGCAAATCAAGACACCAAAGGTTTTCCGGACTAGTATAATTTCTTATACTTATAAGATTA